TTCACAAGTTCTTATCTAGATTTACAAATAGAAAAAAAAGATCATTTTACAAAATAATTATTAGCATCCCTGAAACTTGATGCAAGGAAAGGAACTGCTCCTATCCACCTGTATGAACCAATAACTCTGTTTGAAGTACAGTCATAATGCTGCAATTTCACCACGTCCCCTGCCAATAGAAGTTCTGGAGTGAAGGCTCTCATTAGTCATCACTATCCATTTACATTTGGAAGACCATAATTATTGGCACTTGGTGGTGTGGAGTCTCCGTTGATACTCAAATTTGGTACTAGTTTGGATTTATAGCAACTTGCCAAATTTGGAAACTATCGAGTCTTTCCCGCGAAGGCCGGTCTGACTTCCATTGTTTTTTTTAGGAAAACGACGGCAGGAGCTCTGCTGGAATTTGATTAAGAAGGAAAACAGAGTGCAAACAGATCGGTCTGACTTCCGTTGTGTGGCCGGTCAAACCGGACAATGAACTGCAGTCAGACCTTAGGTGTCCGCGTGGTCAGACCTTCAACACAAAGTCCGAGTCCAATTAAGTATTTCTCGTGTTTCCTTTTTTGAGACTAGGATTTCTCGAATCTTAGTTGATTTCTAAGCCGAATTGGACATGAAAATGACCCTGAGAAACAAGTCCACCCCTCCTACAAATATAAGGGGTCAAAACCGATTGAAACAACAATAAATTAATTATCAAAATCAATTTATTACCCAAACCCTCTATATTCTACATCTTCCTCCTTCTTGCTACCTATCCCAAAGTCTATTCTACTCAAATTCCCCAATTGCTTGTCATCCTCGTCTCTACGGCTTAGAGGACGTCCTAACTGGCCTGCCGGAGTCTAGGACAAACTGGCGCGTGTTCACCCTAACGGGGTCCCTCCTGGGTGTTCTTTTGAGCATCCACCGCTCCTTGAGGCGGCTCGTCTCCGGGTGTGCCACTGCGGGTTGCACATAATGTGCTCAATGTGTGAAGGCGCGATTCGACGTCAACAGTCTCTAACACCGTACCTCCATTTTCTACCCTCTCACTAGAGGGCCACTCCACACCACGTGACAATACAACCGACTTAGTGAATGTTAATTGAAAGTATAGCTGCATTCACTAGCAAAGTGGAAGGCAAAATGTGCAGCTTATAAGGTGTACATGGATCTCTGGAACCACAACTATATATCCAGTCAAGTGCTTATCCCCTCTCTTTGCATGACAAATTTTACCACAATCTTGTGACCTTGGAATTGAACGCACTGGGAGAAGATACATGCATGGGTTGTTCCCTCTATTCTTGCCTCTCTAGAGGCCAACGAAGATTTGGCTGGCTTGCTGGTCCAAGGATCCAAGTTAGTACCTTGCATGGTTGAACAAGATCCACTTCTAAGATATCAAAGAACCTAACGTGATGGTTGTTGAGTTGTGATCCAAATTCATTTGCACTTAATAAAAGCCAGCTTCTGCCCTAGTGAAGCGGAGGCTGAAGTTGGCCCATTGGGTTGTGCACCTGGGGACGCCCGGGGGTGCGGGGGCGGAGGCCCCGCGGTACAGATCGTAATACCTTTTAGGGTTCCACCTCATATATATACCTCTCGTAAGCCGCCGTGCGGCGTTGTAACCTCACCCTCGATATAGTAAAGATTTTTTTGCTGGCTGGCATCCGTGGTTTTTTCTCTCCTGGTTTGGGAGGGTTTTCCACGTTAAATCTCATGTCTTCTGTGATTGATCTATTGTTCTTTATCGTTTGTTTGCCTATCGCTTCCTAACAATGGTGTGTGTCTGTAACTTTTCCGTCCTTGAGCTCAACAACATGGAAAGTCTGTGCATCATTTGCATGGGATGAATGACATCTAAAAGTCAACATCAACCAGCAACGTCCTGACAAGAATGGAGGGACATAATTTGTTCTACCGATGATTTTATTATTCTAGAGGAGGTACCATACTCTTTTATATCAATTTGCATTACCTCTTTAGACATCTCCTGAACAATTAGAAACATCACCACTGCACTCCTTCAACCTTTTCACTTGCTGTTTCTACATGAACAGATGAAATTCATGAAACAGAGGGAGAGTGTTGATTTAAGGAAATACAGATATCAACAATGATATGTTATAGCCCGTATTGGAATGTATGCATGCATAGGGAAACGGGGTAGCCAAATGACGATGATCTTTACTAGGGAGCAGGGGCATTTAGTAGACATGGAATGTATTCCACTTAATATAAACTTTGGTTCAGATCGAAGATTACAATCATTTCCAGGAGCAACGACCCCAGAGAATAGGTGTGCTAGCAAGTATTTGGCATGAACATGTTAACCACAATGATGATGTTGTGCCATGGGAATGGAATGATACACATATGTTGAGGAAAAGAGAGAAACCAAAGAGAAAAACAGCACGAGCAATTCAGCATCAGAAGCAGTCGTAGTATAAACTAGATAGCACTGGCTACGTTGTATATATAGACATCCAACTGAGGAGAAACATGAACACTGTTGCTCACTGCTTAGGTGAAGTATGAGCCTTAATTAATAATTTTGAGTAAGAAAATGCTGACAGCATGTTGATTAATTTTGAAGTATCAAAATTTTTCGGTATGTTGGCATTCAAAATTCTAATATTATGGTAGACTAGTGGTCCAATGGAGGGCACCTATATACCTATATATACCTTCCACACATCCAGATTCCAGCACTATTTAATCAAATACTCATATCTAAAGTCACAAGTCCATCTATATCTGATGGTTATTCCGACTCTATCTAGGGTGTATATATACCAATTTATTTACAAGCTAGTAGCAACTCACACAAACATGGATCAGATCGAGCTCAAACTACCTAAAGATGATGCAGATCAACTGCCAGTGGCATCACAAATATAGGCGTAGGATGCATTTGGGAAGGAGAAAAAGGACGTGAAACAAAGACTGCATCGATCACTCGCAATCCATAGAGCGTAGTGGCATTGACTGACCTCACACAACCTTTTATGCAGTAAGACACCAGAAAGAGTAGCAACGACCTGTATGTTCATAGTTGCAATTTCTCATATACTCCATGGATTTATCAGTAACTAGATTAAATTGTACCAAGTGATATTGTGGCACCAGCTAGCTAGTTTAATAAAAATGTTGGAATAGTTGTATGATCAATGTCATAATGAAAATAAATTCTATGAATTGAAATTGAAAAATGTACAAAGAATAGGTAAAACAATAGTAAGAATGCTTGATGGAATGATGGTATTATAATGACTACCATATTATTATAGCTACCTATGCTATTTAAATTTGAATAGCAGAGGTAGCTTTTGAATAGAGGTAGCTGTGTATTATGGGATGGAGGTAGTAGTAAACTTTCATTAGTACAATTATTAGTTACGTCTTCAGTTTCTTAAGGGAGATTACTACCATTGGATGATATACCAAGTGTAATATTATATTATACTAATGAATTTTCATTAACGATCTTTAGTAATTTCATTGTCAGATCCATCAATGCCTAGACTGGATGGACCATATGCTTTTTTTTTATTTTTTCTGTACTGAAATATTTCGGTATTATGACTTGAAATATGTCGACAGAAATGAACTTCACACAATGCTCCTTACCTCCTACCAACATATATATAAGATCCAAGAGTAGATAACTAGAAAACTACTGTGATCCAGACTACCATATATTTCTTTCATGAGCATCTTTTCTATCCTTGAGGAGATACCACGAGGTACTATGAGGTACGAGGCACCATAAGGTACCAATCTAATCTAACCGTTGGTTTAACAGGGGTATGATCGGGCAAACAAAAATAAGCTCTCCTCTCTTCCTTCTGCTGTATCAGGTCGTCCATGCCGGCTGTCTGCGCCGTGCCATCGTCGCATCGAGGCCGTCGCGCCGCCGTCACCCATCAAGATCGTCGCGCCGCCGTCGCCCATCGTGGTCGTCGCGCTGCCGTCACATCGAGGTTGTCGCGCCGCCGCCCATCGAGGCCATCGTGCCGCCGTCGCATCGAGGCCGTCGCGCCGCCGTCGCATCGAGGTTGTCGCGCCGCCGCCGTCCACCGGGGCCGTCGCGCATCGAGCCTGCCGCCGCGGTCGCGCGAAGATGCTTGAGCAGTAGGAATTCTGAAGGTTGCCGTCGCGCATCGAGCCCGCCGCCGCCGTCTCCGCCGCCGTCGCGCGAAGTTGGTTGAGCAGTAGGAATTCTGAAGGAAGCTGAAGGTTGTCCAATCGAAGATGCTTGAGCAGTAGGAATTCTGCAAGAGATGGCAGTTTCTTCCAATTTTTACAACCTCCCAAATCTAGGCTGATAAGATTATTCACTGAGGCTTTTGCAATCCAGTATGGGATTTTAGCACCAACATAACCTGAAATCTTTAGGTTCTTCAGAATAGAATTTGGCTCAAGGTTATCAAGAATGATTGAACAATCTTCTCTGCTGTTGGTGCCATCATCCTCTGACCATTCTAGAGATAATGAGCCGAGATGCCGTTTTTCCTCCAGCTTCGCATTCTTGGCTTCTTCTTCATTCTCAATATTCTCTAGGTCCTTGATAACTAGTTTACAGAGGCACTTACTGTGTAACCTTTTGCTTGTCGGACCTGATAGTCTTCTAACATCTCTCCTAGTTTGATGTATCGAAGGTGCTTTAACTTTGCCAGTTTGCCCATAAAATCAGATGTATGGAACAATACCGTTTTAAACAGACCATAAAATAAATGCATGCAAGCAGCCCATGCTGCATAGGAATTTAATACTGAATAGAAGGAGATAATCAGTTCATATCGGTGTTTCTTAGGTAAGAAAGATCATCGATCAACGCTTATGTTAGTTAACGTTGGTCCTAATATGATCGGTTAAAAGCTGTCAAATTTTAATTAAAAAATTTGGCAGAACCTCGCCAGTACTTGTGAACATTCACGACAGGTAGTTTATAAGCAATCAGTCATAAAGTCATAATCACATCCAGACACAAAATAACACAACCAACTCCAAGACTAAACAACACGACAAGTACAGATCAATTATGTACTGAGATTACATAGTTTCAAATTACATAATGTTACATACTGACAGGCCTAAGCCTCAGATAAGCATACAAAAGAGAGTTACTGGCCACATGCAAATATTCTTCAATTTTGATCATCTAGGATCAGCTGTGAGCCTGTGCCACAATGGATTGTCTGCATGCCTTTCCTTTTCTGCTGAACAGAGAGAGAAAAAAACTGCACAAGTCAGAAATAAAACTTCTCATGCCTAAACATAGCTGAAACATTTTTATTGAGAGAACAGAAACTAATCTAGAATTTGAGAGGCCAGCATGTCGTTTCTGACAATGCCAAGAAACGATGAGACCGTTAATTATATACCTATAAGACAGTCAGTAATTATACCATGGGCATTCCGTCGAACGCCTTGAGTGCAAAATAAACAAGAGAAGTTCTATTCAACTAAGATACAATTTCCATGCACACACATGAATTGACAAATAGTGTGCAGTTCATCTGCAAACATGCAAATGAATAGCTAGCAATTCGTAATTCATATCTATACACAGGATATATATTAGCAGCTGGAAAAATCTTAACTAATTAAGTGTAGTGCCAAATTGCTTACCTGTTTTCAGGTCCTATAATAGTCCCCTAACTGAAGATATGCAAATGAAATTCTAACTGAAGATATATCAAGATTATATCTAACCCACATTTTCCATTTACTCTTGTGATATGATAAATACAACTACAATCCATATATCTCTTCATGTTTTGTGAGTATGCGACATGCAACTATAATGCACATACGTTTAACACATAAAACATTTACTATCAAGAATTATTACACATTCAATTTGAAATGTCCCCATATAGAATCGACCCAATGGTTCAGTCTTGTCTACAGCTGTGGTATTGGGATAATTTTACTGACCTAGTGACCTTAACAGGAAGAGGAAGGGAAAACGTAGATGATGAACTCGGCCGTGGAGAGTCTATGACCAGAGGAAGAAACTCGGTGGGTCAGGGCCTCATGGGGGCACCGCAACCATCCTAGGAAGGCGAGGGGGCGGACAATCGGATCGCACAGTCCCGGTAGCGCTGAGGATATGGTTGGTGAGGAGCAGCATCACCGAACCGAGGCCAACACAACCCCTTACCCTCCCCCCGGTCCTCCCTGCGGAGCTCGTCGGCATCTGGCGCCCTTGACCACGGGGGCGGCCGGATCTGGCGACGAGGTGGCAGGAGTGGAGGCGCTAGGGATGGGGAGGGGGAGGGTGCCATAGGATGCGGAGGAGCGGAGGAGACGGCAGCCAACGGCATCGGCGTCCGCGCTCGAACGCGAAAGGAGGAGATGGAAGCCGGCGCCCGGCAGCATCTGTTCTTAGGCGGTTGTCGGTGAGAGAGAAGGGGAAATCGGCGTTCGAGAGAGGCGAGGAGCCGGGGAGATCGCTGGGTTGGGTGTTATTGCGAAATTACCACCTTACCCTTCCACCCATGAAATGCATTCGGTACCGCCCTCGGGGAGACGCGGGTACCGATACCATCCAGGCCGTTGGATCGCACGAAATTGACGGTCAGGATATGGTACCTCCTTCCCTCAAGGACCGTAAAAAATCTCTTATTCCATTACATGCTCGATCAGTAGTGAAAGAAATCAGAGGTTAGAAGTTTATACAGTAGTGCATCAGCTTACCACAAAGGTGGAATGGCTCTAGGAGATGTGAAAATGTGAATAGTGAACATGAATGCCATAATGTAGGAATGAGGTACATCGAGGAGGATTAGAGGAGACTCAATGTAACAACCCAGCCGAGCAATAATAGTCCCACATGTAGAGTTTAGATTGGTTGAGCACCAGCACATAAACCCGTGCGTTCTAACTCTGTATGGATTAACTCTTTTACATATAGCCAGAATAGTAGAAGTATATAAATTCCTCGAAAGAGCTGAGGTGTGGGCTTTTCAGAAACTAAGATAGCAGCACCGACACTAACTTTAGTAGAGAGGTGAAGAGCCTGTAAGTTCTGTCATTTGTGATGAAGAAGAAATGATCAGATTCTCTGTGAGCTCACAAAACCAAAATGAGCAAGTACTTCCGGACAGTATGCTCATGCACCTACAGCACTTCATTTGAACTTGTTCCACACCTTGTTTAATAGAGTTTCTTATTCTACTAGAAAGAGAAACCATTGTAAAACATCTATATTTTCTCACATAGGATCCCCCAAGGAAGAGACTAATATTAGAACAGAACAATCATGAAAGTCTTCCTCTTCAAAAAATATAAGGGGAGGGGGGTGTCATTAGGATGTGACAAAATTTGGGGAAAAAATACGATGCCATGATAACAGAAAAGAGGAATAATGTTTTTATTTTGACGGAAAAAGAGGAATAATGTTGGTAATACATGATAATCATTTCAGAAAAAAAGGGAATGTGTGCAATACATGTGCATATGTGATTATCATTGACCCCTTGAACTAGTCAAATCTAACACCAACTTTTATATATGAATTTGAACATAACCTATGTCTAGATTTGTATACAAAAGTTAATTTATTTTGGGATGGACGAAGTATATCAATATTGCGAATGTTTTCAATCAGAGAAGTGGACAGATATGAACATTTTGGTTTACACATAAGAACAACTTATCATGTCGTGGTCAATTCATGTTTGATGTCTAGGTCTTTTGTCTTCTGGAACAAATTTTTATTCCTGGTACGAAATAGTATCAAATAATTATAATCTTGAAACCATCGAATCGTGTGAATAAAAAAAAACCAGAACTGCAGAAACACACAACGGACATGTCTCAAATTTCATAAGTTATTGAACAGAGGAGTAAATTATAAATATGATTGATGATTTCTCAAACCAACAGGTGGTGAATGTAAAAGGTGACCATAACTCTCAGGGAAAAAAAAGCATTCACCAACCTACCACTTATTCATATCAGTTATAAATAACTAAACACCTGCCTTTCATTTTTATCAGTGCCACTTCGTTGTTTTCTTCCTTTCTACAGTTACAAGAACTAAACTTGAAGCAGTTGCCACACATCAGTTAAAGAGCGAGGAGTAATCTCTACCACAAAATGCATGGGTATGCAACTGTGAGCTTAATTCATTGGTTCACACCCTCATTTATCTGATCTGTTGTAGGGATGGGATGCATTGAGGAAGATAAGAAAAGGCACAACGATAATACCGGGAGTGTTTCAGCATCGATCGGTCCTGATTCCTGACCTTCTTTCAGCATGAAGTGCGACACTTGCATCTCACACTAGGACAGATGTCATGACCTCAGACCATGACGGAATAACTACAGCCGGGAAGATAGCCGGGCAGCGTCGGCTCCTGGAGAAGGGATGTAGATTCAGGCTAAGGAGAAGAACATTGCTGGGAGAGAGAGATTAGATTAATTGATATTCATTGCTTAATTGATAATAGATACAATCCCATCCTTATATAGATGGTACAAACTTGATCCCTAAGTAAGAACTTAATCTTATCCTATCTTATCTCTAACTACTAACTAACTAATAATCTTATCTCTAACTTGATTGGTTTGGGCTGCCTATAAACCTTGACCTACGGCCCAATGCCCATAACATTGTGTGAGGTTCAACTCATGAGCTCGTCAACCAAAGAGGTAGCTAACATAGCTCACTCTAGGTTAATGAGAAAGACGAATTTGGAGCAGCATATGTTTCTTTTCCGGTTTCTTTGCATGGGAAATGTGAAAGAAGGTTCTGGCTGATTTTTTTTTATTGGCAATGACACAACTGTTCAAATCACTGATGAGATCTAGATATCACTAACGGCAAGAAACATTAAAGATTTGCCCTTCAAATCACTGATGAGACTAGATATATCACTGTTTCAACATTTAAAGATCGACAGGGTTTCACAAGAGAGTAAATAAATATTGTGTCGTTAGCCGCTACTATCCTACATTGGGTGGTATATTTTGGATCATGTGTAATGCCGTGTTACAGGTTTTGGTAAAAATAAATAAATGTTTGACAGCAATGTGAAAAGGATTAAAAAATATTAGTAAGTTGAAAAATGTATATTAACATGGAACTTCACATCGTAGAAAAAATATGTTTCCAAATATTAATCTCATTGTTTTTAAAGTATCACACTATTAATTTATGGAGTTGATGTTTGACAATTCGTCTTATTAAAAATAATTTTAGTACATATATGTAAAAATATAAGTTATATTTAAGTAACTTTAGTGATTAAACAAGTTACAACATTACTTACCTAATTTTTTAATAAGATAAATAATCAAATGTCATGTCCAAAAGTTAATATTATACATTTCAAAATGAAGGTAGTACTAGCTTGTACAAGTGCACACACATCTAGGTTGGCAATTAATATCCTTAGTGCTGGCCATGGCCTCTTTATTTAGGTTTAGGCTTATTGACTTAACCTTTTAAATCAGTTTTTTGGCTTATATAATTTATAAGCTGGTGGATTTAAAGTCCTAATTTTAAGAGTGGAGTCATACTTCTTTCTCTTGTAAGTAAAAAAAAACTTCTTCAACCTAGCTAGCTTTTAGCTTAATAGTATAAAAGTGGCTTATGGTTTTAGGAAAGACAAACAAAAAATTATTATTTATTTAGGCTTAGATATTTTAACTCATAAACTGACTTGTAAGTCTAAAAAAAGACCAATGCCAAGATATGCTTAGGATTTAGAACCAACGTGGCCAACATCCACGTGGTGTTGCATGCACATTTCTGCTTTTCATTGTGGAGGGTTGCCGATATATGATATGTCACCCTTCTTGTCAAGCAAACCCAAGTAAGACACTAATTAAGAAATCTGGAATTTTCCCTAATGACAAAACCAAAAGAAATAACAATATAATAATAATAATAATAATAATAATAATAATAATAATAATAATAATATACTTTTAGGTAGCACCAGCACACACAGAATAAAATAGCGACACATACCCATAAAAACTCCCGCTGCATCTCATGTTCTATCCTGATCCTCAATCCAACACCACTTTACTAAGCAAAAGTTATATGCGCGAAAATTGTTGTGTTTACGATACACAAAATTGCAAAACAAAGTGCTGCTGAATTCTATAAGAATGGGAAGCATTCAGAAAGCAAGAGTTTTTCCAAGAGAGGCAGTACTGCAGTAGAACAAGAGCATAGCAGCTTGGCTCCAAGGGTAGACCCATGGCCGAGCAGCCGAGGACACGGCAGAATTGTGGCCATGTCGCATGAACAGCATTATTTGATGACTCCATAGGTTAGCCCGCTGTAATAGTATTTTCATGGGCTCTAGATGACTTCCTCGACGAGCCACTAAAAGATAACTAGCCTCGTTTCTAGTTCAAACGAAATGAAGGTGTATACCGTCTTAGTTATGAGAGGGCGTGCATTCTCGTGGTTACAGTGATAATCTGAGTAGATCGGATAAAAATAACCATTCTAAAAAAAATAAAAAAAGAAGATGCCGTCTTAGTTCGCCAAGGAGCAGAGACAATGTTTAATTATCAATAAAATTGTGATGTGTGATTTGGAAAGGGAACTACGTACCAGCCTCTTGGTAGAATCACCACAAGTTCTCCTTTCTAGTCTTGTAGATCTGAAAATAGAAACTAAGGTACTCTTGACGTAATCCATCAAATACTACCAAAGTTTGTATTAACAGTGACCAGGGTTAATTGTAACTATATAAGGATGGGAACGGTTGGAATCGTAACATCTCTTTGGAAAGGACGCTTGGCCGATCGATGATTTTTAGTATTTATCAATTTAACTTGTTGATATCAAAACAATGCTAAAAGAAATTAGAGAAATCAAATCTCATGTATTGCAAAAAATGGAAACGGTACAACTTACAAGGAAAGAACGCTCGGTCTGTCAGGAATTTCCATAGCAATTTTCATCGTTAATTAAAACTATGAAGTAAAAGGCATAGTGATTAAGAGGTATTGTTGACTCATTTGGTATAATTGTATCATAACAGAAATTATGCTTGAGCTCTTTGAACCAAAAGTTTGGTGGGTCCATAAATTTGGTTGATGTTACACCTACTTTAAACAAAAAGTGCGCTGGCTGCAATTGAGATTTCTATAGGCAATTGTTGATGTACGCTAGAATAAACTGAATTTGGCATACTCTGCTGCAGAGTGAAATTAAATCTGCTAAATATGGTGCAAAGCAGTGTACAATGTGTAAAATGCAGTTTACTCATCATATATTCAATATTTTAACACAATGGTATAGGAGTAGTTCCTTAATTTGTTTTTATCAAGCGATGGATGGAATTCAATACATCCATTTGAGGTACAGTGATAGTGCTACAATTTCACTGCATACCTTGCCAAAAAATGCTGGAGTTATAGCCCACTATGGTGTAGTAGAAAGCAATCTGAATCACTGATCTCATTTGATCGAAGGGTTTGCATCTATTTTTACTACCATCCTAGTTAGCGTTA